CAAGAGGCCTCATTGCATGGTAAATGGTGACAAAGTTTAAAACGAAATATAGGATCACTTGCAATAGAATTGTAAGATGTGGCGGCATAAAATCTGTTAAGAGTTTGGAATATTTGATACATACTTGCCGTTGAAAATTCCCTCATTTTGTCTAATATTTAGGATCAAGGCCAAAAAAATATTCTTTTGCTTACACTAATGTTTCATTAGAATATTAGCTTCTTTGGTTGGTTGCTTATTTTCTAATTAATATGTTGTCAGTGCTGCTGCAAGGAAGGAAGACCGATTCCATATGTATTAAGTTAGACGCGAAATGCCCTAATAACCCTCAAACTATTATAAAGTTCAACTTTTAACTCTCCAATTATTAAATGGGCACTTTTAACTCTCTTACTAATTAAAACGCATACTCATAACCCTTCCCTCAACTTGAGCCAATATATTCAACAGAACAATGGTGGTGGTTCTTGACACTTTTGGTGCCGCTTCTGTTGGACATAACGACTCAAATTAGTGGAAGGGTACTTATGAATGTACATCTTAATTAGTTGGAAGATTAAAACTGTTCATTTAGTAGTTGATAGGCAAAAGTTAAAATTTATAATAGTTTGAGGATCATTGGAACATTTTGCCCTAAGTTAAAAGCATTTTCAACTTTTTTAAAGTCTGAACTCTGAAGCTAAACTCAGAGTTCACACGAACTCAGCAAGCAAATAATAACAATTGCAATTGTGGCATCAGCTGGCTCTTACATGTACGCAAAATCAGGGGATTTCGGTGACATAAACAATGAGAAAGGTCAAAGATCAGGTTCTGATTTATATAAAGCTGAGACTTGCCTCTTCTTCCGTGGTCCAACGAGTTAAATGCAGATAGTAATATATTACATGAGCTCAACCGTATCCTAAGTCCTAACATTAAAAATTACTATCTAAGTCTCTGCTTAGGATTGCGATGTGTTTATAGAAAAAAAATGCTTTTAAACACTAAAATATTTTTAGCGTGTTTGGTAACTAATTGCTAGCCCAATTTTTGGTAATTTAAAAGCATATTTATTAAAGATACTTGTATCAGAAGTATTCTTTTTTATAAGCTACTGCAACCCTAAAAGGGGCTAAATTAAATGATGGATTCAACACACGAATGCCTTACTTGTTAAGTTTTACCACTTAGCTAAGTCAATAAAAAGGTGCTTGACATTATCCAAGTTTTTTTTTTTCTAAAGGTTTGTGGTTTACAAATCCATCAATGTGATAACTGATAAGTTGTTTTGACGAACCTTTAATTTTTTAAAAAAAAAATAAGAAGAAGTAAAAGTAACTTGAGCACCCCATGCGATCCAGAGATTGATGGAAGGATGGTATAAATGATAATGCAGATTAAAGCCAGAAAAATTATACAAATTGAGCATCATTAGTTCACAAATTTTTCTTTTGCCCTTTGATTTGGGGAACCTATCACAACTGCGTCAAAGTCGGTAATTATTGTCTGCACTATGAGGTATTCTTTCCATTTTTTATGCATCTAGTGCAAATCTTAAATACTACTGTCTTGTGCTAAGAAGACGACTTGCAGAATATTAATTAGGCAGCAAGAACCCAACCTTCATCTTCTCGAATCCCAATTGAACTGCAATAATTCCTTTTGTGTTTATAAGCTTTTTTGCTTTGATATAAGTAGGTGGCCTATAATTGCATCCACCATACATAACCAGAGCAATGGTTATGTATTGTGCAATTCTCTTAGCTAATCCAGATTAAGATACAGTAGTATTGATATGCAAAACTAGTTTATTAGATGCTTAGCAGGAATTCAGCCAAACCAGGTCGACCCAGGAATCAAGCACAATAAATAGGCAAGTGGGTAATAAAACCTAATTCTACGCACTCTCCAAGTCAATCAAAAGCAGTGGCTGATAATGAACTTCAAACTGCAAAATTAATACACCATTGATTAGGTTTACTGAAATAGTAGTGTATCACAAGATTATACAACGTCAAGCAAGCATCTTAGGTACGTAGATTAGGGAATAATTGGTAGGTATTGTGTTAAATTATTGCTTAATCTTTGATGGGTAGTTTTCCTAAGAGAATTTTGTCAATAATAATCATCAGGAGGACAGCGACATTGAAGTGGTTTAGGCTTGGTGGCCAGTTTTGGTTAATATCTGTATTGGAAATGGTCAAGTTTTTATCAGTAACTTTGGCTTAGTTTTGTTGAGTTGTTGAGAAAATAAGTAAAACCAAAGAGTTCTTTGGTCAAAAAAATTCCCAACTGCTTCTAGGCAACCCGAAGTTCATGAATACATACATGATCATTTTATTTGTTGTTCATAGCAATATAAAAAAAAAACATATATAAAGATGATTGAAGAATATTTAGCAACAGATGATAGGTATATTGATAAACCAATCTTGTTCCCTTGTTGTTTGTTGTTCTGTGGTTCGATAAAATTTGGTTGGCAACAATGATTGAGTAGGTATCAACCAGCGGCAATTTGTTTAATGTGTATAAGTTTATTGAAAATAATGAATTACGCTATAATTACAAAAGGAATTGCTTAGTTTATTACTTTTTTGAGAAGAAAAAAAAAATGATAGTTCAGTGGATGGTCGAGAACGTCAGTTTGGATTGCAGTTTTTTATCAAAAGATTCTTACATTTTTTGTGAACATATTTTTTTTTCTTTAATTTTTTATCTCACATATATCAAATCGCTACAGTATATTTTTTTACAAAAATTCCAAACAAATAGCAATCCATACGGAAAAGTTTTGGCCAGGCTATCCTTAGTACCAAGATTCAAACTTTTATGGGTGAGTTCATATATAAAAAAAATTTATACCTAGTGTACGTGATTTATATGCAGGCTACAACATATAAGGGTTTACTGCATGGTAAAATTCTTTACAACAACGATATATATATATATATATATATATATCTCTATGAATTCTTACCATCAAAAAATGTTAAAAGTAAACCAATATTATTTAATAGATATTCTTGGAGGAATGGTAAAACAGCAATAATGGTAGTAATATCTTTATTCATGCATAAATGTTGCAGTCAGCAACTTTTCTGAATTCTGTCTCAGAAAATTTTTTACTGAAGCTTCTGAATATGACATATGCTAGCCTATACGTGCGACCTAGGTTAAGAATCCTCTTGTTCTTACAAGAAAAGACTCTGCATCTCAGCAGGAAATATCAGATTAATCTTACTTCGAAATAAATATTGTACCAGCACATATTTCACCTCGATGTTCAATTCTTCATATTAAGCCCAATTCAGTTTTCTTTTTCTTTTCTTTTCTTTTTTCTTTAGGGTGTAACGGAGGTTCAGGGATGAAGGGACAGTTGACTGGTTGATGAGATTGGAGAGATGTATTAAAAAACAAGGAGGAGGAGGAAGGAATATTTGAACCCAAGATTTTAATTTTTGGAGTTTCAACTCTAACCACTAAACTAAACCTCTTCAGCACCATTGATTTTGTTTACCAGTAATGACTTGAATAGTTAGAAGGTAGTAAACCATTGGACAAATGGGGATCTATAATAGGTAATGAATGTTTTATATACCTTACAATCTCATTTCCTAAAATCTTCATATTTTTAAGGTCTGATTGATTCTTTCAGTGTCCAGATATTATGGTGGGTGCAATTGCATCATTTATTTTCTGCTGTCAAGGACTTTAATCAGTGGCTAGCTTCCTTTCTTGTTGAACTAAGGTACCCTGGCAAAAGTCTGACTCTGACAAGGATATTTAATTTTCAAGAATCAACTTGCTTTCCCATTGACATGGTGCTATATTTTATGAATCTGCAATTCCAACAATCCGAAAGTGTTGCCCGATCTTGAATAATTGGCAAATGCCTGTAATGTAATCAGTGAGGCTCTTTTGTCCTTTGAATAGGACAAACTCCAGGCAGCTTTTAGCGCCAAGAGATTATTTCGGATAATTTTTTGAAAAATATGCTGTAGGACCTTTTTTGATATGATAGATGTGAGATAAGAAGATGGTTGAAAAATTTACAGATAATACAAACAAATCAGTACGTGTAAATAAGGTGTAAATAATGTACAATCCAAACAAACTATTATTTGTAGCGGACTAAGAATACAAAAGTTAAAGAATTGCTCATTTCAGAGATTATCCCGTGTCGGTTTTGGATTAACTACTAGCAAGTAAAGCTATACATCTCCATCACTTAATCGTTGATTGATCTCAATAGGGTGCAATTTTTTTTTTTTTTTGGTATACTGACTAAAATTAAACCATATTACTTCAGCTGGTCAGCCCCAGACATTGTCCCACTTTAGTATTTCAAGGGTTTATTTATTTATTTATTTGAGTTAGTCTTATATACACCAATGACAATGTATACACAATCACAGTTAGATGCATATAAGATTCGGATTTCAAATTCATATTCAAATTATTAGTAGTGTATAGAAAATTAATTCTCTTTTGCCTTTTGGTTTAAAGTTGACTGTTACTGTGTAACTTTTCTCATCCTTACCAAACCTCATTGTCAGATTTGTTCATCAGTTAAGCAGGAGTCGATGACCTCTAAATGCGGCAGGTAGCAGATGCTGAACTCTTAACTTTCACAATGATTTTCCTCTCCAACCCATACACCATTTTCATTTGTACAATCACTGAAGACAAGCAGGACCTCTCCTGCAAAGTGGAAACCGTCCATAGGCATGTGCAGGACAGGTCTCCTAACAAAACCAGGCCCATGAATTGCTGTAGACACGTTGCTTTTGCGGGCCACTATCCATTTTCTGGGATGGTAATCAACTTCAAATTTGCCCTGCAATGTTGGGAACCTTAAAAATAGCGTGTATAGTCTCGATTTCCAACTTGTGGAATCTGCCTTTCTTCTCGTTATCCTCTTTAGGTCGATCTATGCTATAGATTATCATTTATCAACTCCCCAACCCACATGCGATGAACACCAATCTCACTAGACCTGTCTATCCTTATACATAAAAGACACAGAAAAACTGGTCATTCAGTTTAGTGCACTGGCCTCATTATGATTTCATTTCTTCCTCTGCAGAAGCCCTGGTTACAAAGTGGCTTAAAGATGGAAAAAATGCGGGCATCAACAGTTTGTTCAGGATTAAGTGCCAACAAGATTAAAATGCAAGTAGGGGCTTGAAGATTGAAAATGACACTAGTGTTTAAACAATTCAATCGAGGGAAATATGGTGGCACAATGTCTAAAAGCTGCATCATCGTTAAACTGAAACTGTGAAAAACAAGCTGGTTCTCATTGATTTCATTCTTTGCCATCAGCAGCGCGAAGAGATCCCAGTTCAACGGGAGCTTGTGTTCCCACCACTTTTGATGACCCGTAAATGGCCACATCAGTGCCCTGAGCTTTTTCTTTCTCAATTTGTTCCTTGATCCAGAAATATGTAATTCTGAGCCCATCCTATAGAATTTAGAAGGTCTAGATAGGATCAGTGAGTCATACAGGGGGTGAAAGGAAAGGCATGATAACCAAAGGCTCCAACTTGGTGGTACCTTCAATTTCATAGTAGGGGCCCAACCAAGCTTTTCTTTAATGAGAGTGTTGTCTGAGTTTCGACCACGAACACCCTCCGGCCCAGGAATGTGATAGATGGGAAGCTTCTTTTCCTCAAAACTCAGTACCATCGCAGCCATCTCATTCATGCTCACCATCTCATCACTTCCAATATTTACCGGCTCTCGGAAATCTGATTTCGTCAACCTGAACATAGAGAAGGGTTCATATAAGGATTCCAGAAGCAGCTTATGAAGCAACCACATCAGAATTCATATCATGATTACTCTAAATTCACAAATTTGAACATTGGCAGTGAATAGACTGCACAACTATTCTTCAGTGAATATGCACTAGCATATAGGCTCCTACATGATTTTTCCATTAATGTCTAGGGTAGCATTGCATAAAGACCACAATCATCAACAGGCATTCTAATTAGCCTATGAGCACTTTCTCTATGACCATAAAGGAGTGCACATTTGAAGAACAGGAAGCAGCATATGAAATCACAGTTTTAGAAGATATCAGACTAATCCAGATCTGCCATTTTGAAGTTATGAATTTGACAGTGAGCATGTTCTAGGTTTAGCTTGACATATAGACCTCCTGAATGATTTTGCTATCTTTTAAGAATTAGCACCTTTTGATAATTCACAACTCATGAGAGGAATCTAGAGTTCACCATTTTACCATGCTGCTATCATCAGCAAGCAATTCAATCAGCTAAACCATCATTTCATCACAAGCCCCAAATCATGTATTTGGACAACGGACAGGAGCATACCTCAAAACACCTTCAACACATTCATCAATGAAGGTAAAAGATCGAGTTTGTAGCCCATCTCCCCACATCTCAAACTTGTCAGTGGAGGTAATGGCCTTCCTACAAAATGCAGCTGGTGCTTTTTCCCTCCCACCTACAGGTGTCAATGAAGAAGTTAATAGATATCATGGAAGACTTCTCAAGAGTACAAGATACCAATTATCTGATGCTACCAGAAGTCGAAGCTTACCTTTCCATGTCCCAAATGGACCATAAATGTTATGGAACCTTCCAATCCGGCACTCAATTCCAAAGTCCTTGTTGTAGTGCTTACAAATTTCTTCAGTTGCCAACTTCTCTAAGCCATAAGCGTCTTGGGGCTAAAACACAATTCATACAAAACTAAATCATAATCTAAAAATTGCCCCATTGAATAATATTCATCTTTTACTAGAAACAAGGGAGGACCTCAGCTGGCCAAGCATCAGACTCTTTCAGGCTGACATTAGTGTCCAATTGTTTGAATTCAGGATAGATGCAAGCACTGGATGCATAAAAGAACCTGCAACTCAAATATGAAGAAGTAAACATCATGCATAAGAAAACATTGGCAACTAAAAGGACTAGAGACGTATGACGTGGAAGTGTTGCTACCAAAAGGGAAAACTTTAATTTATAAACACGATGAAAGATGTTAATATTTATCAGATGTAAACTCAAATTTCGTAATATATGTAGTTCTTTTGCCATTTATTAGCATGAAAAAGTAAGACTAACAGCCCTCTGTTTCATATGATCAGACCTCAGATGGACTAGAGTAATTATTAAGCAGGTAGACTCTAAAGCGGTTTGATAGTCATTCAACTTCCGTCAAGATCAACTTTACCATACAATGTCTAAATTAACTTCTCCAAAAGGCAATAAGTTATACATTTGACAGATAACTTAGACTTCGTATCTCATGATAAATCTGTGAAAATTTGAAACGCTAACATGAAGGTATGTCTTTTTTATCTTCTTTGCGAATAATAACACATTGAAGGATATTAAGCAGGTAGAGATGGCAGACCTTCTGACCCCATTGATCCTTGCGGCTTCAATCATATTAAAACTGATCATTGTGTTGTTATACATGATGACTGAGTGGTTGGATTGTATGAAGCCCATGCCTCCCATATCTGCAGCTAGATTGAAGACATGATCAACTCCTTTAGTGACTTTAAGACAGTTGTCCATAACCCTGAGATCAACGAGGTGGAATTCATCACAGAACATGTCTTCTGTCATGTGCTCATTTTTCTTCCAGTCAGAAGCTATGATGTAATGGCCCTCACTCTTCAAACGCCTGGCAATATGTGATGCAATAAATCCACCAGCTCCAGTAATTGAAATTCGGAGGTTCTCCGAAGGCCAGTAGGGCTCCCTCTCAAGATTCTCGTAGGTGTAAGCCGCATATTTTGTTTCACAGTTACTTCCCATTCTAGGCGTATCAATAGGGTGGAAGAAAGAAATTTCTAGATTAGACAACCACGAACAGTTCTTATGATGGAGCACACAAACGTAGGGAACAATATCAGATGAAGAAACGCTCCTAGGAAGTCAAGTGGCCAAATGTGAGAGATGATTGGTCCATTTTCTCCGAAAGCATGCAATAGACAGTTAATGATAGTAGATGAAACAAAATGGAAGGAAAGCAGGAACTAGGAATGAAAGTTAGACAAATGTAACTATCATCATTGCTATAATAACGTGGAGGGAAACAGCCAAAACACTGAAAGATGGAAACTTGCCAGATAACAAGATATGCTAATAATAGAACAATAACTCAGTTTTCATTCAAGGAAAGTAAATGGTCCAGTAACGAAATTACCTCTTAGCTAGTGAATAGTCAAATTATAAAAACCATGACACAACAAAAGAAGCCTAAAGAACAAAACTTTACAGAATGTTATTAAAAGGTAATGAAACTCATTCTAGCACTACTATGATCTAACAAAGAACATGCAAAACAAACCCTTAAAGAGAAAGATATAAAACCAGCATCCCAGAGAAGGAGAAACAGCAGAGCATCCTAAAAATTCTACAAAAACAGGGGGAAACTTGAAATAACTAAAAACAAACGTTTTCCCGGCTTTCACAAACTAGAGTGGAAAGACTGGGATTAACTACATAAGAAAATAATCCAACAAATCATCCATTCTACATATGCAAAGCATCAAACGCACGGGAAATAAAAAATTAGAGCTTTTGCCTGTAAAGAAACAAAGGATGCAAACTAACAGCCAAAACCATCAAAATCGAACCAAACAAAATCGACCCTTTATCGATCATAGTCAACTTCAAGAAACCCAGAAAAGTTTCAATACAACTCAGAAGCAGAAACTGATTAAATCAAGAACGACTAGCATTTACCTTCAGAGCAAAAAGAGATGATACTGAAATCCTGAATTATTACCTCAATGTCCAAAAGAAAGCTTGCCTTATGGAGTCCACAAATATGCGAATGATATATGGGATAAGACAGACGAAGATTATATGCTATAGAAGTCGTTGTTTCGCTCAAAAACTGGATCTCTGATTATGGCCGTTCACATCTCCTCCCTGCTCTACTATTTGTAGTGCTGCTGCTGACAAAGCGGCGGCTAAGCTTTTAAATGTTTTTTAAATGCACATATCCTTTTTATCTCTTTTCCAATGTGGTGGGAAAGAAAGGATTGAAGTTAAAATTGGGAAAGTCTATACATGCATGGTGACCATAATTGTGCTTTTACACATTTAAATATAAATTACATGTTGATTATTGTCCAATGTCCAAACATCATTGGTTAGGAAAATGTATTTATTTGTTATTTTTTGACAATTAATAAATTTATTTTCCTCATTTTATTTAGTACAAGTTGCATACCCACCAGCTGTATTACATTTTGATTTTCTGCACCTCTAGCCAACGGAATATTTTTAAGCTTTGTTTTTGTTGTTTCTTTGATGTTTCTCTAGAGTTCTCCACTTGTAAACCAACATGACATTATTTTGATTCATAATTTAGCTGAATATCTTTCTTTCTTTTTTTTTTTGGGGAAAATATTCAATCATGATAATGTGATCTCAATTATGATTTTTCTTGTTTTAATATACCACTACCAATTATGTTAGTTGGTTGCTGAAACCTTAAAGAGGTATAATCTTACTATATTATTAAAAGATGGTTCAACTGATGGATCCGTGGTCACTAAAAGAATATTCATAAATACATATAATATGTTAGTTATTTTTACATACGTGTAATTGATAAGTAAAGTGTTTTAAATATCATTTATTATATTAAAATAGATATATTATGAATATGTAAATACTAATAAATCACTCAATTTACTTATATCATACTTAACAAATATAGATCATGTATTCAACGATAAAATAAGATTATTTAATTTATGGTACACAATAAATAACAATTTTAGTTTGAAAGTTGAATTAATTGTATAATAAAAATATATTTGAAGAGACATCTTATCAACGAGCGAAAACTTTTGACTAAGAGATCCAAGGTTCAAATCTTGATAAAAGCATACATTTTGGCACAAAAAAAAATTCACTACGTTATGAAAAAGTCACCAAAATTTCTAGTTGAACCATTGAATCAAGCGGGATAGAATGAGTTTGACTCCATCAATTCCTTATTTAGTTACATTAAGAATTTGAGCCAGTTCATCACAGCAACTCAGCAAGCAATTTAATTGCCGGATGGATAGGGTTAGGTTTAATAACTATTTATATTGGTATAACTATTTTTTCCCTTCAATTATTGCAATCATTGGAAACGAATATTTCTTTTTGGTCAAATACTCAAAATGAACGTCCAATTCAACAAATTTGTGGTAAGCATGGCATAAGATCACAAGGACGTCATCTCGTAGCGTCCATAATTGACCTCAATTTGGGACCGGCAAGAAGGTTCTGTGCGTGGGATCGTCACAGTTCAAAAACCAAGAGTCCTAATTAGAAAATTTTCCCTTTTCGTTTTGGGGTTGATTTCAAAGTCTAGTTTTAGAATATAGCTCCTCAAATTTTATAAGTAAATCTAATTTGTTCAACAATACGTCAAGCATCAATTGTAACGTTATTTCAAGAATACATCAAGCATCAATTGTAATGTTATAGACTATAACATTATCTTTTTATTTTACATACATCACATTATAAAAAAATGTTACAAGAATTATTCTAGATAATATTTCAAATGATACTCTGTTCTTGCTTTCCCTTCTAAGCCTTGCGGTTTACACCTATGCCTTCTCTCGTTCTTCATTTTTTGTTTTTTGAAGCATATTCTCTCATTCTACCTTAGTATGTAAAGTAGTACTATTGCCTTGTTTGTACTGTCATTTTTTTTATAAAATTATTTTATTTTTTCAATCACTTTTGTACTCTACGTACATCAACAAATAATCTAATGGTTTCTTATGAGGAATTAGGAAAGTTCCATCCTACCATTGCAATGCCTTTCTCCATAATCAAACTTCCTAAAAGGTCAGATTTAATGTTCATGCATAAAAATTTAATCTTTGTGATAATTTTAATGGCCTGTTTTATCAAGAAGTCTGATACAACAATTGCAGATCAGTCCCTATACTTTTTATTAACTATATTGTGGCCCTAAAAATTTTAGTTTTTTAATTAGGTCCCTAATTTAATTTCACTTTGGTCCCTAAGCTTTATTTTTCTTTTCATTTCGACCCCTAATCTTTGTGATAATTTTAATTTGACACAAAAATTTTCTTAATTTTTGTAATTAGATCCCTGACAGTTTTGATTTCTTAAATACAAGTTGTCTTTCTTCTTTGATTGTTAATTATACTTCATTTAAGTGATTTAGTTGGTAGATTTCATGATTATTTTTATTTCTTTATAATTAAATTGGTGCCTTGATCATTTTGTTCATTTTGGAGCATAAACAGGGTAAATTCAACCCCAATTAGCTACTATTTCAAGGGAGGTATCTTCTTTTATGTGCTTATATTTGTTTTATGTGTAATTGCATGATTTTGAGTGTTTTCTTTATTTATTTAATTACTCGTTTTATTTAGCTCAAGTTTCATATATTAAATTTGGTGATTATTTGAGAGGCATTTAAATGTCAAATTGTAATAGATAGGTAGTCAAAACATGTATTTAGCTAGACTATATAATAGATAGGTTTTAATTTTGTCAAAGTGTAATTAGTTAGATAAATGTAATAATTAGGTTATTATTTTTAGATTTCTTCCCTTAGATTGTAGTTAGGGCCCAAATGTAATAGTTAGGTCCTTATGTGTGTTTATTTGTGTGCGTACTTGCATGTTTATGTGCTTTTGTGTTTACTTGCTTTTTTAGAATTTTTGCATCTAGATATTATGTTTATGTGTTATGTGCTTTATGTGTTTACGTGTTTACTTGTTTTAATTATGTTTTATATGTTTTATTTAGTTATAATAAATGCATGACATCACCATACCAGTTTAACACTAGTTGTGGTCTATTTTCTCGATTTCTCGCTAGTCCAACGCTAGTGAGAATTTATAGACATGAGTTAGTCCAATACTAGACCTTTAGGAACTATCCACGCGCTATATCATGTTTATGTGACAATCACTACATTTCATGCATATTTTCTACTTTTTAAGATTCTTACCATTTTGCATGATATTTCCTTTATATGTATATCCCTTATCCCTATGTGTGAAACATGACATTTAGACTTGCAATCCATTTAGAAAATTAGAAGTAGGTTAGTTCATTTGTTTGACTAGATTAGGAAAGTCACCCTTCAAATATGGGAAATAGACGAGTATGGCTTTTTAACCTTAGCACGCTCGTATCTCCTCTATAAAAAGGAAAATTGAGTCACGAATCTTAGTCTCCCATACCCGTTATGTTACATTCATTTTTTTTAGATCACGTATACTTATATATTATAATTTTTCTTTTTTTCGAGTCTTACTCTTTGCATATTCGAATCTCATTTTTTGCATATTCGTGACCTATTCTAAGAATAATTTTGGCATCACAATTAATGTGATTCGCACCAATCAAAGTTTGAAGAGATATTTCAACCCTCTCAATATCCATTAGATCTAGATTTGCATCCATGTAGTAACATCCAAAATATGATAAGTTTTATAGGTTAGATTAAGAAAATTTTTAACTAAATCTCGCAACAAACTTTGGTTAGGTTGGAAGGGTGTCTTAACTTTGTTTCTGTCAAATCTTTGCCTTCTCTTTTTTCAACCGTGACTCCCGAATTCTTTTCTCTTGTTTGCAAATACTTGTAGTTGTCTAAAAAGGGTTTTATTTGTTTTTTTTAATTAAAAATACATTTTTAACTGACTTGGTACACCTTAATTCAATACCAAGTGGCGACTCCTATTTTTTCTTAAAAACCCTTTTTAGACTACTCCCTCCATCCCAGAAAGTGTGTCGGGTTTCGGAACTTGTAATTATTATCAACAGTGCAAGACTTTTAAATGATTTGCGTTTAAGTTCCGGCAATACCCCCTTGACTTTCAATGTATCCATACGTGGTTGAATGATAAAAGGGCCATAAGTTGTGACAAGACAAGTGGGACCCAAAAGAATGAAATGTCTCCACACTACTTTAGAGGAAAGTGTGATGCACGATTGTTATTTGCATTTTACGTGAGAGTCACAAACTGTTAAGTGCAGTGTTGGTACTTGGTAAGTGCATAATTAGACCCACTAAAAGATGAGAAAAGGTTGTCACATTGAAGGGTATGGAGCAGAAATGTGTGAAAGTTTTCATTGCCAATTTTAGTATAGTAAGTGACAATCATTTTGGGATGGATAAAAAAGGAAAGTGTGACACTATCAATGGGACGGAGGGAGTATTATTTTGAGTCCAAATTATCGCATTTTTTAAATTCCCATATTAGGCCCTTTTCTTTTTCTTTATTCTCTAAAAATCAAAAACTCATTTTCACTCAAAGTTAATCAAAAAATTCATTTTTGTATAACCCATAATTTTATTTTTCAAAAAAAAAAGGGCGCGACAATGGTATCTAATATCATTGATTATCATCTTAAGTTCATAAATATCTTAGATTTTTAGTCTCCTTCTATAAATAGAATGCTTTATATTTTCATAAAATAAAATAAAACTTTTGCTGATTAAATGGCATTTCTTTGAATTGTAAGTATACTTTAGAACTTAATCCATTATTAATTTATCAATTAATTAGTACCTCTTTAAATTAATAAAACCTGTATGGTCTCAAATTTATTGATTTGTAGAGGTTTTACTCTAATTTCAATTGCTTGCATACGCCTATAATGTGTCTTGTATTCTTATACTATATAAGATTGAGTTTTGGTCAAAAAATAGGTTGAATTTCAACCGCATAGGTGGGGACTTTCTGGGAATGTAAAATGTTGTGTATTAGTTTAAAAACTTTAGGTACAAGTTAAGGAAGCATGTATTTGGATATGTTTACTGAAATGACCCCATTTTAATACATTTAAAGTTGTCATTGATGAGCCATCTGGGTATTGATGGAATGTGTAATTAGTGTGCAACCGTTTTTTGCATTTTGTACAACCCATACATGCTTGTGTGTTGGTATAATTACCGGAATATCTCTTAACTACCAACAATTCCTCTTTTCAGCCACAGATAACTGTTTGAGATGTTGTTTTGTCTGAAACG